ATATTTATAACTTCAGATGTAGAACTTTATTGAACTGTTGAATGATTGCAAATAAAACAGCTAACTAGATTTGGTTATTTCATTGCTGTTCGTCATTAGTTCTTCTGATTATGATTGATATATACTATATACAGTTCTAAATATAGTTTCCAGATACAGAACAGGTAGATTCCGAAATCTTCAGCTAATATATTTTATATACACAAAGCTTATAAATATGGGACCCAAATGTGTGTGAATGCCAAATCGAAGAGCTCTTACCTTAAAGGTGAGGTGAGAAAAGATGTAAAGTATAAACTGTATGTACGAAATAAAAATCTACGTCCTTAAACTTGGCTGTATAAATTGTATATTGCCAAAATATTGTCACTATATCGGCTTAAAGCTCGAACCAATGCCTCGCTCTTGGCTTCGGTTCGTGAAGCTTGCTTTCCCCAATCATGAATTCAGGTTTAATTCAAGTGTATCCAATTTTGTTTCAAACCCAAGAAACTCTTTCTTTGTTTATTTTTAATTAAGAGGTAAACTTCTTATAAATACTGCATAAGGTCAGATAATAATATTGTGAGGGTCAAATTGCTCATTCTACTGTAATATTAGGCTAGCCTCAGGTGAGTAAAGCAAACCATTTTTTGAGTAAATGCATTTCGGTCAGTTCAATAGAGAAATATATATTCGAATTTCTTCTTTGAAGTAGTTTTAGTTTAAGAATTCGTTGTATATCCGTTTAAAGTAGAGGTAAATAAATAGTTGACGACACATTTGTGCACATAAAGGTAAACTGAATTTCGATTGGATTACAAAAACCTACTCGTTGTATTCTAAGCAATAGATAGACACTATTGCGACCCTATGTTGATAACCTGCACACGATTTTTTTTTTTTTTGGTATCTTGGGGTTTTCCACATAACGGTTATTTGCCACCTAAAGTGCTGTTTCATTCTTTTTTACGATTACATAGCTCGGCGGGAATGTGGCTCGCATATGTCTGTGATTGTGGTAATTGTCATGTAATAAAAGCCGGAGAACCTTACTGACATCTGATGAGACAATAAGCCAACGCCACTTGAGCACTTGAACTTTCCACCCCAAGAAGGTGCCCTAACCCCAGTTGGCGCAGTCGGGGAAAAAAAAACTGAGTCAGCCAAGTGTCGGCAGCTTTATCTCAGTTTTAAGAGTAGACACATTAGAAGTTTGCGTTCGTACAAGTTCGGGTTGTGTGTGTAATTATTGGACCCAGTGTCATGTTCAACCCGCTCGTAAATTATAGAGATCCTTATGGCTAATATGTAATTTATGGCCTAGCTGGAAAAAAAAGTAACATTTTACACACACGTAAAACAAATGCGGCGGATTTGGCGTACATTAGCCGCAGGAAAGGACCAAAGCCGGAGACTTATTTTGTGGTCACCATCAGCCAGCCATTTGTGTTGACCTCTGGCCGTGCACAGGGCAGGGGCCCGAAAACCCACATCATTGTCCACGTTACCTTTTTTACAATCTAATTACAGTAGCCCCGGGCAAGGTGCTGCCTCAAAAAAAAGTGGCTCACTTTAAAGTCGCAGCTCGGTGCACTTTAAATAATCCATTAGCGATTACAGAATTGACATTGACTAGAGCTGGGCGCAGCTCGACAAAAGGGCTTAAAAGCTAAAACCTGTTGAGTCGTTTCTCAATTCCCCGAACACTTGCCTGCAACTAAAGCCAAAGCAACTCACCAGGCACCACCCAGCCCAACCCTTTTTGGCCCATCTCGCCAGCCTCGCCAGCCAAGCATCTTACAGCCATCTCCTTGGCACAGATTATGGCTGCTTTGAATAACAATCGATGGCGCGACAATGGAGCTGCCGATGATGGAGATGGCCATGCAAATGGAAGTGGCTGCTCCTCCCCTCCCCTTCCTTTCCCTTTCTCTTCACATCCTTATTGTCTTGACATTTTATTACTGTCTGGAACAGACAGCGGAGGTTGCAACGCTTTGGTTACTTAACTTACATTCTTCCTATTTGGCAAACTGATTCCTATTTTTTGTCTCCGTATCCTTCATGGGCAATAAATTGTTTTTGTCATCGATGCAAGCACAAAGTGAATTTTTTGCGTTGGCAGCGCGCAAAAAGCATTCGAAACAGATATGCATTCAATATATACAAATATTTGTTCCCACCATTCAAATTAAAATACTTATTCACTGCTTAATGAGCTGAGGATTTTTTTATGCGCTCAAGACTCGTTCCATCAGTCTGATCTGGTGGAGATTGATTAATGAAGTTATTTAATCGCCAGCGACTATCATCAATATCAGATTAGGTAATTTTAAATCCATTAATCTATATATTATTATGCCAAATAATTAGATAAATATGCCAAACAAAAATGCAATCACAAGAAAAAGAATATAAATATTTGCAGCTTAAACAAACAACTAATTATAACCAATGTTTTTTTCAGGATCATGACTTAGCTACTATTTGTATAAGCTTGGGGAATGAATATGTTGAAAATGTCTAGGTACAATAAAAATCGTATTATTATTGTGCTGTCAATCAGATATTCCTAATATATAATTTCCGTGAACTCATTAAACTCATTAAGTAAAGAGTATAGATTTTGTAATATATTAAACAATTTAATTTACTCCGAAAAAAACCTGATACGCCTAATAGAACTTGATAAATGCATTTACTAAGTTTATACAAACGTCGTATTTGCAAAAGTTAAAATGAATTTTAAGCATACAACAATAAAAATAAATAAATAAACAAAAGTACTAACGTTTCGACAAAAAAGTCAAGAATAGTGAGAAACCTTACAAATTGTATGAAACTGGCAACTGCGTTTCAATATTTTGTCGAGTAGTTTTTGTCAATTTGTCACTTGAAATAAAACTTATAAACAAAGATTTAAATTGCTTGCAAACAATTTTTATAGTGACAGTCAAATAATAATTAAAGCTAAGTATGTTAAAAGATAAAACTTGTATAAGGCGTGAGGATCTAAACATTTTAGTTTCTTACTGGACTCGAAAAGTAGCTATAATGTTAATTTTCCACTTCCATTCAAGTAAACCAACTAATATTAGCTGTTTTTTTTTAATATTACCAAATTTCAAGCAGAACAGTTCAAATATCTCAGACTTTGCTGGAATATTTAGATTTTAAGTACATTAAACCAGACAAGCTAATGACTATAATAAGTCAGAATTATAATCCATGTCTAATTAGTTATTAAAGATGCTTAAGCTCGGCTAAGCTTAGCTTAAGATAATCTCTTACTATAAAAGCAAATATTAAATTTAAGCTGCGATGCAAACACTTTAATTGCCATTTCCGTAGGAGCAAATAGACTATGAGCAACAATAAACAAATAGAAATACAATTGAATTATCTTAAAGGTGATTTTCGTTGGAATTGTGTACAGCCCATGGGGAAGTATTTTCCTTATATTATTATTCTATTTTTATACATTTTTTTTGTTTTGTGTTCACGAGCTGTTGGCCAACAATGTGCATGCCAAATCGCAGTTGACTTCGCCAATAATCATAAATAATTCCATTACAATAATTAGTAATGCATACTTAATGGTGCTTGAAATCAAATAATCGACCAAGTATCTAAAAAATCTAACAAAAAGCAAGGCGAAGCCACAGAATCAGAGGGGAGGGGGCAGACGGAGGGGCAGACGGAGGGGCAGAGGCATGACGGAGACAAAGTCTCCGACTGAGGTCGCCGCGAAACAAACAAATTAATCAATGAGGTAATCACAATTTATACTATAAAATGATCAAGTTATGTATCTGCCAACTGTTAGTTCTGCTCTGGCAACAGTTGTTGTTGTCGTTGTTGTTGTTAATGTTGTTGTTGTTGTTAATGTTGTTGAAGATGGCTTTGGCTTTTCTTTGTTTTACTCTGTGACCCACTGTGCGAGCGATCGTTGCCTTTGGGATGACAAAAAACAAAAAACAAATAGTGAAAAAAGGTTTAGCAATATACCGAATATTAGATGCTCTTTAATGCATATTTAATGTATGTTTGATATAATTTTTCTATTGATTAATTTTTAGTTAAAATCCAAATATTTTGCTTTCTTCATCCGATTCGAAATCAATTATTAATCAATTATTAACGAATTGTAGTAAGCCAAACTTCTTGCAGTTAACTTTTAATTTAATTTACAAAACTCTCCTAATCATAATGCATAGATGTATAACAATATGATGTTCAGTAAAGAAATCATTACAATAAACTAGTATGGGACTAAGCTGATAAAAATTAATAAATTCTAATGAATATTTGATTGCCAACATGATTATATAAATAGGTCAAGATTGCAAATAGAAAGTCTTTCTTCTGTTCAATATTGCTTTAAATAAAATATAATTGTATGTTATTCTAAATTTAAAACTTTTCTTATTGGAAATTCTTTTATTGTAAGATAACTACAAAAAGAAATCGCAATTAACATAGTTAACATCCTTTCCGGAAAAGAGGCTTAGACACCTTCCAAATCGTGCGAGGACTATGGAGGTTGAAGCTATAAATACGTTATAATACGTATATAATTACGTATATATTACGCATACAAAAGTCCATATAACTTTCTTGTTGTATTGGAAATACCTATGCCTATGAATGGGGAATTGAGGAAGTAGAACTTGCTAAAAATAAACTAAATACGTCATGTCTGTTATCGATCGGTAGCGCATTTTTAGACAAGCGTCGCAAATTTAATGATCAAGTTGTTAGACTCGCGAGAACGCGTTGAACAGGTGAATGCGAAACTTATAATCTTTGCCTCTACATGAATTTGGCTCATAATTTGTTGTGGCTGCTGCCACATAACAAATCTCTAGAAGCGAAGCGCGAACAACAAAAGGCCACTTCATTAGGAGAATATGTATATCAGCGGGAAAGGGGGCGAGAGATAGAGAGAGACAGACAGGGGAAGGGAAGGGCAAGAACAACTACTGCTGAGAAGCTTACAGCGCCGCTGGCAGCAACGATCGGAGCTCAGTCGTCAAACGGCAGCATTTAACTAAAGTCGCAAGCCCGGAGTGGGAGCAGATCGCAGCTGGAAGCATAACCAGAACCAGGCACGGAACAAGAAGCAGCAAACGCTTTTAGCGCTATCTACATATTATTCTATTTGTGGCTTACAAGATGTTTGGCACTCGACGACATTTGGTAATTTGATTGATGCCCATTTGGTGGGGTGTCTTAATTGGGAATTGTCTTTTGCTTGGACTCTTTTAGTTGCTGGTCGTGACGCTGGGCGCGCTGATGCTGGGCATCAGCTGGGCCGAGCAGCCCGAGCAGCCCGAGGAGGTCATCAAGGAGGATGTGATTGAGATTGAGAACAAAACGCAAAAGGTCATACGGGTCAGTCCGCTGGAGCTGCCCTTGAAGCAGGACCGCACGGGCAGCCAAACGAACTCGGAGCTCTTCCAGATCCAAACGCTGCGTCCGGGCGCGCAACGACCACGCCAGCGTCTGTATGTGGACTCGAAGCGCATGCGTCCCGCGAGGATCGCCACTGGTGAAGCATCGCAGCCCGCCTTGAAATTCTCGTACACGCCCGAACTAAAAGCCTTTCCCAAGCAGAAGCTGAAAATAAAGCAGCAGAAGCAGCTGCACTTCCCGCTCGAGCCTAGCGCCAGTCCCATGGAGGCGCTGCCCGTCCAGATGACGCCCGGTCCCTATCCCATCTACTATGTGGTGTCCAAGACGAACGGCCGCTTCGGCAAGTTTCCCATCAAGTCCTTCCGCTCGCCCGCCGAGTTCGCCAAGTATTTGATCAAGAGCAAGGCGGAGCCCATAACCCGGACCCAGCGTTTCGAGACCAGGCCCCAGCCGACGACCGAGGTGGAGGGCAGTCGGTAGTCGGTAGCTTTACTGCTTTGTGATTTGCACGCGCGCTTTGTATGCTAAGTTAAATTAAATTATTCACCGTAATTATAATTGCTAATTACCACAATAACTACAATTACCCAAACCCATTATGTACTACGTATCTCTGAAGTGCCCAACCCATGTACTACATGCACAAGTATCTTGCTTGCCAAATAAACCGAAACTGCTTTATATCGCAACCATCTAGTCTGATGATCGCTGATCTCTGATCCCCTCCAGCTGAGCTGTGGGTTGAGCTTGGTGGGGCTTTTGGCCTTCGTTTGACTCTGGCAACTGTTGACAGCCAGACCATAAAGAAAAATCCATCTTAGCCCCCTGCCCCCTGCCACCTACCACCAGGTGATTCATCATCAAAATCTGTTAATTGTCGACGATTCTTCATTTGCTGTCGTAATTACATAGAACACCATTGTTGCTGATTTGTTGTTTGTCATATGCAAATTTGGGATCATATCGAATGATATGTTGAATAATTAACCGACACATTCGAGTATATGCATAAGTATGCTCACATTTACACATACCTTTGACCATGTGGATAGCTTCCACAACAATGGATACAATTTGATTTATTGTCAGCCTCTTTTGCGTTTCATCGTCAAATCTTTGGTGCCACATTCTTCTGGTGCCGCTTCTTCTGTTCTGCAACGCAAATTAATGATCTGCTTTCTTAGGTATTACGAATCTTCACCGATTTTGCAGTTCTGTTACGGTTCGCCAACTTTCTCCAAATGCTCAGAATTAGAAGCTTTAACACACAAGAGCGTTATACTTAAGCTGTTTCTTTTTTTTTTACACACGTTCGTGTTAAGATCGTATCCATTTACACACTGGCAAAGCGAAAGAATAGAAAACATAGTGATAGCTGCATGTCCAGAAAAAGAAAACGAATAAAATCTATCGTCTTTATCTCGAAACGCTGAAAATAAAAAAAATACATAACAAATGTTTATTTCATCTGATATTTATAATTTAGTGTTAGTTAGCGGCTTTAAGAACCGCAAGTCTCCATATAACTGTTTGTCCCGATCGACTTCTATATTAACTCACAGTCCAAACCTTATTACCTTTTTAGCTATTTAATAGCTAAAATTTAGCTATATTTAAAAATTATTAAGTTCTTTCGCTCCTTAGCGCAGTTTGCAGATCAGCCAAGTACAGCTCGTTCAAAGAAATTTAGGAAAAAGAATTCATTGAAAAACTTAAGAGACTTTTTTTGCTATAATTATATGATAAATAAAATTTATTATTTTATAACTACAAAACTTTTGTAAATTAACAGATATGGACTTCAAAGAAATGGAATGTGTTCTGAAAACACTGGCCTTAAGAATTACGAATTTAAAATTTTGTCTGACTTCTGGGAAATTTATGGAAATTTATGGAATTTTATGGAACTTTAATGTTGACCATCCGATCGGCCCCAAACTGAATGCCCATGAGCTTCGTTCAAATTTATTTGAGACGTGGTTCACAGGCTTATACTCATCCTCAGGATTCTTGTGAAAATGTTTCACACATTTCGTAAAATTCCCCCCTCTTGAATGGCTCTTTCAGCCTAATGCATCTGACCACGAGACTAAAATTGCCGAAAAACATTGATTTCGACTTTTTGTTTTAAATCCGATGGACTTCAAGCGCACTTTCATATGTCTATGTAAAATATAACCTTAGAAGTAGGGTTAATAGGTATAGGGTAAATAGTACGGGTAAATTAAAGAAAATTCTATATATTTCTATAGTCACTCACTTCACTAATTACTAAAAATATTATTATTAATGACTCATCGAACCTGATAAATGACAGTAAGGCTCTTAAAGATACTTTCGACTACATACATAAAGACAATATACAATATAATATATACTGTATATGCATATTATATTGTATTTACACAGAATATATACTCTTAACGACGGGAAGTTAGGTATAATTATAAATTGATTAGATAAGGGAGCACTTTTCTAATACTTCTCCTGTGATTCGATAGATATTATAAATGACTTTTCGCATTGAAATATATTCTGTCTAGGGCACACGAAGAAGAGCTAGTAATTTGCTTTAATTGGAAATCACACGTGCAATTTTATCGACACACTTCACCCCCCGCCAATTATTAATTGCGGCGTGCCGCCCACAAGAAGCCTGGCTCGAAACGTAACGACCAGGAAATCACGACCCCATCTACTAAAAATTGATGCTCTCGTAATAATTATGATTTTGTGGGAGTGCAAACCGCACAGAAAGTTGGTGAGAGAGAGAGAGAGAGAGGGGAAGGGAATATGGGAGCCGTGCTTGGCTGTGTAATGTACTTTGTCTCTGTCTCCGTCCCTGTCTGGCTGCTCCCTGTTTGGGTTAATCATGTCTTGGGCCTTTTTTCGCTCGTCCCCGAGCATTTCTCATTACTTTTGCTCATTTCGACATTTCATTCTGTTTCATTTTATGTATGTGTGTGCGTGTATGTTAGCTTTGTATGTGTGTGGGCGAATGTGTAATGAACTCTGGCAGCACGAATTGCTTGTGTGCAAACACACACACACACACACACGCACACACACGCAGGCATGACGAACAAAGTGTGATATCGAAATTTCCCAAAGGATTCAACGCCATATTTTAGTCACGAAAAAAGATTCGCGTGCTGGAAAGTTAAGCACAAGACTTGGCAGCAAGTGCGTGAAGGAGGCAAAATTGAGGAAAGTTCCTTCACGAAGGTCCCGGCTATGCTTATAATCAAGCGTAAAAATGCGAAATTAATCAACTTCAGCGACTGCGTCTCAAGTTAACAACGCAGAAAAAATTGAATTAAAACTTTTGCGGCGACTGCCAACACTGGCCCTGCACCCTTTCTATGCAGACGAACATGACAAAACCCGTAAAGAAATTTAGCTTGGGGTTTGCTTTTGGACCGCGGCTGCTGTTATTCAATTATGTATTTGCGCTTGTCCTGCAGTAAAAATTACAATCTACACGACAAGTCAACAAAATTATGAACACTCCTGGGCAGTAAAAAGTAAATAAAATTCACTCTCGAGAAAAACGACCGAGGAAAAAAACGGAAACTTTTCTCTGTGCGACGCGACGCGACGCATCGCATCGCGGACACAGTTTTTTTTCGCCCCCATTTTGATTTTGGGTAGATTTCTTGTGCTCTTTGCTGTTTTTCCAGCACTGCGGTAATTGCAACTCCCGTCGTCCTGTGGGAAATGTGAAACAATAAATGAAAATAAATGAATTTTTGTTAGCCGAATGGCCACCTGCCACAACCACAGCCACAGCTCCAGGCCAAAAGCCTTGCCCAAATACCTTCAAATGCCATGAAAAACTCGAAAAATTGCATTAATAAACACATAATACAGCCAAATTTGATTCAGTCGAATAATGTCGTGAGATCGAGAACCCTTAACCAAGTACGAAACTTATAAGACAGTTGAAATTAAATGTTAAATGTGAAAATATGTGGACTCCGCCGTGCTGAGACCCGTTTCCAATATCGTTTTATTTCGCCTTTAAGTGGAAACCCCCAAAAATAACCAGACATACTGCAATTGACCCAACTGGCAATGGCACTGAGACAATTTTCCAGTGAGTCGAAAGCCATTTTATCAAAAATTAATGTGTAGTTTGAACATTTTGCGACATTATGCGAGCGTCAGACGGGTTAAAAGACGACTCCAACCACGATGGCAGAAGGAAGGGTCGGACTGCACAGTGTGACGAGGCTCGTATTGATTCAATCGAAAACATATCACAAATCCTCCATGGCATTCAACTCACCTTACCAACAACCTATTAAAAGATAATATTGAGAAAATTATAAAATTTTTGTAAAAAAACGAACACGTGCCATATAATCTAAGACAACTTTCCAATACAAATTAGAAGCTGATATTTTCCGGCCTTACCAAGTCTTGTGATGCGAAGCCGAATGATAAACTTTCGTTGATACGTATTTTTCACCCAAACGGCGTGGTTTTTGAGAAACGTGTTAAACATGTTCAAATGAACTTTCACAAAAGCCTTTGCTCTCCATTTCCACCAAGGGGGAATGGATTTGCCAAAAAGAGTGAAAGAAAATCATTAAAGATATTAAAAAATGAGGTTAGGGCCGAATGACAACCAAACAAATTTCATACAACCGTTTTCTGTAATTTTTGCACACTTGTAGGTCGAATTTCCCAACACAGAAGGAAACTGAAGTGACAATTTCCGCATTTTCCACCGAGAAAAAATTATACTGTATGTGCACGGAGTTTATGAAAACGTTTGGAAAACATTAAGAAAAAAACCCTGGCCGGGCATAGCCGGGTGTTAAAAGACGCTAGTGTATATGTTTTACTTGAATACCAAACATTTTGAATTTATCTAAGCTGGATTCATTTTTCCAATTTTAATTTGCTAGAGTTATATAAGCACGTATTTATTCGCTTTGAAATATGAAAACCACTGTAACAGAGAAAATAGGCAGCGCAAAACTTAAAGCCGTAAAAAGTGCGCCCTCATGTCCTCGAGACGTTGTTACTGACAGCTCGGTGGCCGCAGAAAGTTTGTGACGGCTCCGCAAAGGTGACCCGGACAGGAGTCACAGTCGGACGGGGCTGCTTAAATATTAATGCCCCAAGAGCCAGGGACAGGCCATGAATAAATTTTTGGCTATGAATTTTCAATAACAAACGCCCCCCGTTCGGTTTGTTCGGTTTAGTCGTGACTTAAAGCCACAAGTCGGCTGTTTTTAGCCAGATGAGCTTGTATTAGGTGTCAACCGCAATAGCCACAACCACAGAGCCAGAGCCGGAGCGGGAGCCGGAGCCGGAGTCATAGTCGAAGGATCTGTGAAATGACCATTGCATGCACTTTTAGCCAAATTAATTTGCTTTTCTGTCGATTTTCACTTCCGTTCGCCCATTGGCAATGACACAGCCCCCCACTCCCAGGTTGTGCGTGGGAACTTTATGCGCGACCCTGACGGCCAGGTTAGAAGGGGGCGCAACGTGCTCTACGTGCGTATGGCGCCAATTGGCAATTGACCGCAAAACCAAGCGCCAGGTTCACCCAATCAGCAGGAGAGGGAACTTAATCAAAAACAAAACGTCGGCCGAAAAGTGGTCAACCATTTTTGCCGGGGCTGAGCACGGCCCGGCCGGCACATTGCCCACTGATTTTATTTGCTTATCCGGA